CCGCGGATAGTTATCACATTCGCAAAAGCATCCTCCACGACATTTAATCATTATTCGCGTATTATCTAACGTTACAGCGAATATATTCCCGGAAAGTATTATGCAAGTAAACACGTGATACGCAAAAGCTATTGTATCATTCGTTATGGAATGAATTTTTTTGCTCGCCTTGAATAACGGATTAGATAATAAAGTTGTTGAAACAAATATGTATGTATATAATATATAAAATTATAGTCTTCCGGATTCTGCTTATACGACAAATAGACACGAATCACTCGATGAAGTAATATCGATAGGAAATGTGTGTGTTCGATGTTGTAAACGTGATATAACGTTACACGTACGGCATAAAACAATAAGTACGATATGTATATAACGTAAAATTTGTAGATATTCTTATCAGGAATAAAAGATAAATTTAGTAAAAATATATTGACGCTCAATTGCTCCATTTCGTCACGTCGATTTGTCATTATGTGACACTGACCGTTAGAAGAGCCAATCGACCGAAAACCGGCACGCAAAAACTGCACGATATCCACGCAAATTACGTTATTGAGAGATACATAAATTTCTACGGACATGTTACACGGTTGGTCGCATGGCCGAAATTATTGACTTATAGCTGTCGATTCAAAGCGTCTAAAAATTCCCACAACGCAGAATTATCGTTGAAAAACACCGAGTCCGTTATCGCGTTCGACGTATAACCTCAACGATTCGTTCAACGCTCGACGTTGCTCATTTCGCGAAATTGTTATGAATTTCAGATTCGAATGAGACACAAACGATCATCCTACGACTTGACCACGCGTACGGAAGAGGGCTGACGCGCGAGGGTCAGAAACTAACCCCCAAAAAAATGTATACGTCGTCCCTTCGGAACGAAATACGCTTTACTCGTCTAATCACGTGAAGCACACGAAATTTACAGACGCCGGTTAAATAGCATTAGATCGTAATAAGATTTCCGACTTACCCAATGCGTAGAAGAACTCCAAAACTCGATAAACCGGATGAATTCTCACTCACAAACACGAAACTTAACAGCAATCACGATACAATGGCGAACAGCGGGTGCGTAGCCAAGACTGAGCTAATGCTCTCGCCATCTGTCGAGCGTTTCTCCAAGTCGTCAGCAAAAATGTTTCCCATTGGTGCGTCTCGGCCAATGAGAATGCACCGTCGATTTACGCGGGAACGTTTCGGCGCCACGCGGCCATATTGTAGGAACATTTAAATTACTAACCAAACAACGCAGTACTGAAAAAATGGACTGTAATAATCATAACGTCGATCAATTGTCGTTTGGTAATACTAAATTCGTGTTTCATTTACCATTTTTGTTTGCAGCTTTGATGAATTTTCCAATATTAAAACGATAAATAATGTAATACTTTTAAGCAGCGTTACAATATTCTGGAATTCAGGAAACCTGGAATTCAGATCAACTATACCGGATGGTCAAGGAGACAGAAGATATTAGATCAAAATTGTTAGAATGTCAAAAAGAATGTAAAGACACTGAGATAGAAATATATAACGTAAATCAACTAAAAGATAAAGGTACGTTTGTACTGCAGAATGTGGAAAGAAAATACAATAATTTAGATGAAGAATTAAAAGAAATTCATTGTAATTATATGAAATGCAATGAGAAAGCAAACTTTAATGAGACCGTTCAACAAAAAATTAATTCCTTAATATCACAAAGAGATAACTTGAAAAAAGAATTAGATGAATTAAAGAAAACAGCAGATAAGAATAACAAAGAACTAATGGAGATGCAAAAAATGATTACAATTCAAGAAGTAATACATATTTCATTAAATATTATAGCAATAAATTGTGTCGACGAATTCTCATATATATTTTTATTTGCAGAAGAAAAATATGGCACTGGCCCGAAAATTGAAAAAAATGGTGGAGAATATGCGAATAACGCCAGATTTATCTGAGAAAGTGAATATGATCCTAGCTGATCCCAGATTAATCAATATAAGAAATTCTAATTAATTTAAATTCTGTACAAATTATAAAACAACATATATAATCTTAGTTATTCATATCTTACAATATCCTCTAGCTATCTAATATTTATAATCTTATTTTATCTTCATGTTCTAATAACATTAAACATTTTTCTAACTCCTCCTTTCTCTTTCTTATTGAATCCATAACACTTAATGACTTATTTAACGATTCTGTCATGTTATCATTCATGGTCATTATACTTGACCTTTTTTCTGCAATTTCTTTCATTAAATTTGCGTTTTCTTCTTCTATCGCATTTACTTGTTTTTCCAATAATTCACTTTCTTCTTTAATTTTCTGGGCGTCTAGTGAACGTAGATGTAAGGATACATTACCCGGTGGTCTCCTAAAACAAAACAATGTTAATAAATTAACAACCGAATATCACTAACAAGCCTTACCAAGCATCTTCGCTTACAGAAGAATCTGCGTCTATTAATTTCGCAACTTTCTCCAATCCATTCTGCAAGCTTCCTTCAGTCAATATATATTCTAAATCATCGTTCATATTATCCATAAGCTCCGTGCACATTGCTTTGTATAACTTTTGTCCAATACTCGGCTTTAACTTGAGAGTTGTAAGAATCGTAAGAATGTCCACGAAAGCATCTTCGCTGAAAGATTTATCAAACAATTCAAATATTTTCATGAAAGTCCATTGAAACGAAGTGTAAACATTTTATTTAACGTCATTACATTTAGTTAATCAATATTATAAATTAGTCTCCAATATTATAAATTAGATTCCATTAATATAATTACTTATACGATACATAAGAATGTACATATAATGCAACCAGTAATTCATGCTTTCATATTTTATTTCATGATTGATTTCATCAACGTAAGATCAAAATATATAAAATATTAAAATATGAACAAGCATTGTAGTATATACAATTCGAACGAATAATATTCCTCGTACAACATTATAAATGTACATTCAATGATCGTTGCATGTGGTGGCTCTACTATCGCTGGGATCAAATTTTTCTTTGTTTACCATCCACAAAGGCTCGAGCGATTGAATAGAGAAAGAACCAGTATTCGGGCAAGCCAATCCAGTTTCATACTACCATAAGCATAGCAATCCGTAATCGAGTTGCATAATTTCCGGAATGTTTTTACATGTTAATATGACGATTAATGAGGAATTTTTTTACATAATTATGAAAATACATATATATGAAAACAAACGTGTAAAAGTTGTCTGTCTTTATTAAAATACAATAGTACAGTATATATATAATTTGAAGAAAAATCACATGTTTGTAAAACAATCTTCAAAGAAGTCTTATGATTAACATACAATTAGACTGGCGTAATGTACATATATTTTGAATATAATATAGCAGCAGATATTATATTTCCTGTGATAAGTGTAGGAAATTGCCAACGTAAGAACCACACCTTCGAGTCTTCTTCCGCTGATTTATGCACACTCAATCAGGCCGGGACGGGTGCAATTTGATGTTAATACTACATATTTGCATTAGTCCTGACCTAATTGAATACGCTTCGTGGCATACTCCTTCATCTTCATTCTCAATCACGATAATTTTCTCTTCACCAGCATGAGGTCATCCAGGAAAAATATTATAACTTTTTACATAGAGCAAAAGAATCACGCGATCGTTGAAAATATCGTACAAACGATTCAAATAAGCTAGAACAACGAGAAGTTTGATCGTAGGGAATGAAACACGTTTGTCACTGAATTATTCCTACGTGAGAATAACGGATGGCCAGAGGGACCCGTACGTTCCCCACGACACGTACTGTACGAATGATAGAGCCGAACGATGGTGACCACACCAGGGACCCTTTGTTTCCTCGAACACTTCGTGGAATTCTTCGAAGGTCAACTGGTGTGTTGGGTTTCAAAGAGCGGCAGATTCTGGGAAGCGGGAACTGAAGCGAAACTCGATTTCGAAAATCGAGCCATCTTGCTCGTAGAACCGTCAAATAGCAGTGGACAATTGTTCGACCACGTGAACAAATCGACAAATTAACATGCGACTCCCACAGAGGCCAATGACATCGAGTAGCACCATCGCTCGTTTGAGTCATTGCCGATCCCTCCTTCTCCGCCGCCTCCTCCTCCTCTTCCGTTTACCGCCGATAAACGAAACATCAAGCTCTCTAAAACATTACACGCACGTTCTGATCGGGCCGTGCTGGGTTATGTGTTTTCTTTGACTTCCTTAATTAAAGAAGAATTCTCGACCGCCGCTCATACTGACACACATACGTTGGCAGTACTGTTATCATACGA